CAAATGCTGTGATGTGAAATGCTGAAATAAGTCCGGAATAACAAACTTCCTCTCTTAGGGAACTTACTATTCTATATTAATTCTCTTCAAAAGTGTCACAGTATTTATAATGTTAAATTAATCCTGAGCTGAAATTTTAGTGTTGCATCTTATAAATTCCATTAAGCACAAACTCTTTAAAAATATCATATTTGTATATTAAATCAAAATGACAGATTTTGCTGAATTACATATGTAAGTAGCCATGATAATAAAATAATCTTACACTGTGATTTTATGCTACACTGAAATAATTTTATCTAAATATGCAGTTTATATGCTTTATGTGGTACACAATTGGAATACGCTTTATTCTTTTTCGTATTGAAACGCTGATTTTTAAAATCCCCAAAACATCAATGTGCGTCACATAGAAAGTTTCCCAGATAGTAACTGTGCAAACCAACAAAATATGTATGATGGAGTTATGTTTTAAAGTTTCAAATAATCTGTAAATTTGTCAGTCAGTTTTAACTTTTACAAAAAATGTTCACTTAATGCATAATCTGCAGAAGTTATTTCTAGACCGCCACACATTATAGAACTGTAACTGATTTTCAGTTACTTGGTAGGTGAGCAGCTTGTAATCTTACTATACTGTCTTTCCAGTGAACTCTCTGAGAGCTCTTAAGACTCTCCATTTTATAATCCTACTTCCCTCTCTTTTTAGTTTTATTGTCTTTTAACACATTGAAATACTTTCAAATACATATTTCCCCATATCTTCAAGGAACTAGTTTTACTATAACCTTCTGTCTCCCTTTACCAGTAACTCACTTAGTAAAGAAAAGTGATTGCTGCAGTAGCTCCTTGGGACCTTGACACATCTCATTTTCTTTACTTCTCAAAAATGGAGAGCTAATAAACTAGTGTATAGCCTCCACTTTTTGGAAACATGCAACTTTTACTACTTTAAAACATAATTGGATCCTTTGTTTCGTGCATTAAAAACAAGAAGGAAAAGCTGAAGTCTGCCCAAGCCAGGTGTTTCTTGTTGGCAGCCTGCTGCCTAATGACTGCTCTCGTAGAGCAGCTGCCTACTAGTCAGCTCTGTATGGCCTATTGTTGCTGCACACCCCTCCTTAATACACATGCCGCCCCGGGCAGACCCAAGAATGACATCAACTTGCTTATCTTAGAAACCTCCGAACCTGACGCAGGGTGCTGAGGTTGTCTTGCATCTGCCTGGCCCACTAATTGTAAGCTTTCTGGGCTATGATTGGCTGTTATTCCACTCAGTAATAGGTTAAGCAAAGACATTGCCATTCCATCTGTTCAACCATTCATTGTTCTTCTTGCCTGCCTGGAAGTCTGCAGCTAAAATTGTGTGAAGGAGTTACTGCTGAGGCTGCTACAGAAACCAATGTCTTTGTATTTTCCTGCTAACGTGAGTATTTGTGCTACTTGATGCCTTGAAAGTTCAACTTTGCTAAATATTTAGAGTATTAATTTAACCTCTTTAAAGGATAGAAAACACCTCAAATGAAAGCCTACAAATTATTACACAGTGCCAACATGGAATTCAAAAAATTCATTTCTTTAACATGTCTTTGAAATAAATTGGTATGTCTGAAAACGCTGGAGTTTTGTAAATAATTGCTTATAGTTTTATGAACATTTATAAGGCATGAGACATCACATATATAATTAGTTATTGGGGCAAATTTTCTGACTTTGATCAACTGTGTTTAGATTTTATCTTCTCAAATTCTTAGGTTTCTTATGATGTCACTGTCATGCCTTGGTGTTATAAAATAATAGTAATATTTGATGGATTTTTCTATTATCTTAGACGTCTACCTCAGGGCGGTATATCAATATAGGCAAATGTTTCAGACAGCTTGTTTTAAATGTGATGATTAAGCACTCCCCTGCCTTGTCAGCAATTTCAGCCTGCATCTACACTGTGTCAATTGTCTCACCTTTTTCCCCCTTATGCTAGTTTCAGACATTAGACTGAAGATGCCACGCCAAGAACTATTGCTTTCGGGAGTTCTGTAATGGGGAGGCAAGGAGACAAAGACTTTCATCCCTCAGGAGGGAAGAGGGGAGTAGAAAGGGTTAAAAAGAGGTTTTCATTTCTACCACATGCCCTATTGTGTGAGCATATGCATAAGTCTATTGAAAGTTTTCAGAAGATGGGCAGGCCACCAGTTGCTGGTCTCCTGCAGTTTCCAGTAGACATCTGTTGCCCCAGAGCATTAACCAATCTGCTCCAAGGGACTTCCTGCCTTTGTTAGATGGGGGTTACAGACAACAGCACCCACGCTAATACAATGGTAATTAAACGCACAGAGACTACAGCAGTAGGTATTTATTACATATTCATTATTTCATTTCCATTGTTCTCATAGTATTACCATTTGGATAACAACCAAAACCCACTTTTGTGGCATTGTAACTTTACATTGTGAACAAATACATTGGAATTGCATTTTTATGCTCTAGTATTCCTAATAAATCTGAGGTTCTTTCTACTATGAAAAGTAAATGGTCTTGGCCTGGTGTGAGAGAAAGGGTTTTTCAAATTTTCTAATGAGAACTTGGGGAAAATCTCTTCACTAAATGGAAGCATTTCAAACAGTGTTTCTAGGAGCAGCCATTGTATCATAAACTTGTACCTTAGGTAATATCTTTTAGAAATTAAAAAAATTAGATGTCATGTACAAAATTAGCATGATAATGCTGTTCTTTCCCAGCAAATAGCAATATTTAATTTTTAGTTTGCCTTTAGCAAGAAAAATAATTTCCAGTGCAGTATCTGGAGGGCATCTGTGGACTTGCAACTGTAGAAATCTGGTTTTAGGTCATCATATTTTTGCCCAGTATCCTTTGCTTTCAATACTACAGCAAATAAAGACAAGTTATAAGGAATCTCTGACATAAAGTTTAAAATTTAAGCAATATTTCTCAGTTTTATCATAATTGTTAATACAGTATAAAGTTTATAAAGCTATAAACTCCATGAAGTATAAATTAATCTATTTTGTGCATAATACTATGCTGCTGAGTCTCAAAATGAGAAAAAAAATTAATAGTTAATATTTACTTGATTAAACATAGCTTATATATTTACCTTTCAGTAAATGCAAAACAATTCTGATACTTGATTAGAAATAAGAACAGTTTTGTGCCGTGCAAGTGGTGGTATATGTTGTGATGTTTTATTCCTTTATACTCTCACACTAAACAAAAATGAAGCTTATAATCTATTCTTTGTTCTAAAGTATCTGATAGTGACTCCTTGCAAGTTTCACACATTTCATTGCCTTAGCAAGCACTTCATATAGCCTATGAAAATATTACCAGTTTTTAAAACTTCAGTATAAGTTTTATTCAGTGATCTTCAGAATATTGCTCATTTTTGTGTTAAATGTCATTTTTAAATGACATATTAAATCTTTTGCTAATTACACGTGAATAAGGAAGTATTCTAAAACTTACACTTGTGAAAGTCACATCTTTATGATTATGTCAGTACAGACCAGATTATTTCAAATTAGTATTATATGATGAAGGACATATCTGTTAGGCCTAGAAATTGAACACATCTGTCATCAATTATAGTTTTTTGTGTTTAGTCTCTTTCCTTACAGGAACTGAAAATCACTTTACTGCTTGCTTAATCTGTGATAACATTAGATAACTTTCCCTGAACTCACCAATGAAATCCAAAAACAAAGAGAGGCCTGTCAGCGTGAAAAACTGTCTAAGCAGAATTATGTTGCCTAACAAATTGTTACTTAAAAAAAAAAAATGGGTTGAGCTTACATTTATCCTAATCATTATAAATGAGCCTAATGTTGCACGTTTTTATTTGAATATCATATACAAATAATACTGAATTATCACAAATTAAAAGTGTATGACATTCACTAAATACATTAGTATCCCATTGAGTTTCTTGTGGTCTGATATCATAAAGCAACCAGCAATTGATAACCCCATTCTTTCTCTTTGGCATTGTCATATAGTAAAGTGGAGTAGATTTAGGCAGTGTCTTTACATGTTACAAATACATTAGATTGAAGACAATATAGTATGGTTAAGTTTCACTTTAAAAACTTTCTGATATCTGGCTTTATTTCTTGAATAAAATGGAGACATTAAGAGTAACTTCACCTTGCCTTTCAAACAAGAAATCCATTTTAATGTTTCCTATTGGCTGTGTTTTCAATGAGGTGTACATGTCATCTGATAGAGTCCAAAACCAATGCAGAGAGAGAAGAGTCTCCCTTTCCATATTAAAATAATATTTCCTAGTCCATTGCAGGGACTGGATCAGCAAGTCATTATCTTAGAGAATTATCTCACAACATCACTTAGGCAAAACCCAAACTTTTCAGGGGAGATCAGAAATGTTGTCCATTAAATGCATTTCCTGCAGTCAGAGCAGATTGTGGGGTTTACAGAACAATGATGTCGGAGCTTCCAGATTGGTTTGGCAGCTGCATTGTTCTCGGAGGGTAAACCAGACGCACTTAAGTCCCAGTCTCTTTTATAGGCTTTTGTTCATACCAAATTATTCTTTCACTGTGCTAGCATTCATGATGGCATGTTAAAGGAGTGCAGCTTAGCAACCAGCTTCTGGTTGCCAGGCAGCCCAGCTTCCAGTAGATTTGCCTTGTTTGAGATACTTTTGGTGGGAGCACCACGAGAGCCACCATGTGGAATTTTTTCTTTTAACTGTATCCCTTTATGAGGATGCTGTTGCGATGTGGTACTTGCATTGTGGTATTAGTATATTACAGTAGTTAATAAATCTTGGAACATAAAGATCTACTTTCAAAATCTTTTCTTTCAATTCTAAAGAAGCAGGCTCATGCATATCTATATTAACAGGAAAAAAAATGAAATGGCTGCCTCTTCATAGAAGACCAAGATGTATGTAGAGCTCTTCCAAGAGATATTTTGTCAGTTGAGCAATCAGCAACTAGGGGAGTTTGATTTTTTTTTTTTAAACTAATGAATACTATCATAGTGGAACAATGATATTGAAGTGACCTATTTCTTAGGGAATAAACCATCAAGAAACTCTTATAGAAATGTATACAAGTTCTGCACTGAAGGAATTTTAAGTACAACAACTTCAAGCTAAAGAGTTCATGTTCTCTTTATTATCAGAGCTACCATAATTGATAAATTTGTTGCATTAATGTAAAGCACTCGACTAGTAAGTTTACCGTTACACTTGCAAACTTGCGACTGGCATTTCCTTTTACTCTTTGTATACTAACCCTCTTGTAGTATAAATGTGATATTTAAGTGCTTCGGAATAAAAATGTTTTGCTGGTTTCTTTCTCAGCTGACTTAAGTAGGTGTTTCCTGACAGTCTCGCATCGGCTACCACTGCCTTATCAAAGCTGTGCATGTGTAGAATGTCGGAATTTCCTTAACAAGTAAGCCACTCCTGTGGACACTGTCCTTGCAGGGAAGCACAAACGAAAGTGACTTTGTTTTTCTGACCCATTTCCACTGGGGAACTGAAAATCATTTCCAACAGACTTTAAGAAAAAAAAATAGTAAAATGGCAAACACATTTTAAATCATAAAAATACTTTTGTAAGGGAAAAATGAGAGAAAGTCAACTTTTTAGCCCGATACAGACTAATGGTTAATTAATCTAATACGGTACAGAAGTATTTTCCTGCCATAAAATTCAAGAAACTGGGGTAAAATTTAATGTATTTGGTTGTTTGCTATTAATGTTATATGACATACTTAATTGCTTTTCTTTCTAAAAATGAGCCTACACTAAAAGAATTTTTGTTTTTTCCTAGAATGAAAGAAATCTCAGTGTCCCTACCATCTAATTAGGTTAACATAATGTTAAAAAATACATTGTGGTGCCATGTTTTATGTTCACAAAAGCATGATAATTGGGACAAAGCTGTGTTCATCTCTTAGTGAAATATAATTCACTTTGTAATTACTTAAATCTTTGTTACCAATTTTAGAATATGTGCTTTTTCATCTCAATATTTAAATTATTTTAGGGAACTTCTTTAAATTGTTACTAAAACCTCATCTCCATTATGATAAACACATGTTCTCCTTTATTCCTATGTGGCTTTATCTTTAGAATATTTCAATTTTTTTTAATTCTACTAGAGAAAAATGTATATGACCTGTCATGACATGTTTAAAACATGCTTTCTAACAATATTCCATGTATCACTTTACAAGTGTGAGCCTTTCTAGAGATGGAAAAATGTCTTTCTTCAAGCTTGAGAAGCAGCATGTTATAATGAAAAAAGGCATGAGTTTGAAAGTCAGACGAAACTTGGAAATAAGAGCAGTTCCACTGCTGTTTCACTCTATTGTCTTGGAGGAATTATAGTAGCACTGCAAATTTCATCACTTCATCATTTGAAAAATGGGGCATAGTACTGTCTTATCAAGGAGTTATGAGAAGATGTAGACAGTGCCATTTAAGCATGTCATGCTAAATACTTGACTTTTTTTTTTTCTCTAGGAGTACGGGGTGCTTTGCATTCAGGAATACAGACAAAACAGCAAGGTGGAGGCAAGTGTGCGGAACAGCTTCATGGGCTTGAAGGATCACCTGGGCAATGACCTCAGCCACCTGCACGTGGACAGCACTGACCCTCAGTTAAGTGCAGTTGTGCCTTGGCCAATGCCAGAGAAAACAGCAATGGATACAGTCAGTGCTGGGAAGGAAGAAAAAGAGGTGTCTGAAGAGAATGTGAGCTCTGGTGACTCTGAAGAAAGCACAAATTCCGATCACGAGTCGGAACAGTTGGAGAGCATTTCAGCAGAGTCATGCTTGTTAACCAACACTCACAGACAGCTGTGTAGGTCTCCCTGTCTAGAGCCTCACATTCTCAAACGTAACGAAATTCTGCAGGATTTTAAACCGGAAGAGTCCCAGACTACATGCAAGGAAGTGAAGAAACCCCCTGATGTGGTTCGAGAATACCAAACAAAGCTGGAGTTTGCACTTAAGTTAGGTTACTCTGAAGAACAAGTTCAGCTTGTGCTAAACAAACTTGGTACCGATGCTTTAATCAATGACATTTTGGGAGAACTTGTGAAGCTTGGAAATAAAAGCGAAGCTGATCCATCAGTTAGCACAGTTAACAGCGTAGTGAGGGAACCGGCTTCCCTGGAATCTCAAAGGCCTGAATCTCCTATGCAAGAGCTTGTAGCAGATGATGGGGAAAATCTGAGACCCATCGTTATTGATGGCAGTAACGTGGCAATGAGGTAAGTGAAGAACGTTCTTGCTGAGAATCTTGACTCAGCAGTCTGATTTTCCAGTTCTTCCTTCTCCCAATCATTTCAGTCAGCATTCCATGTCCCAACCCAACACAAGCTTTAAAAAATGTTTTCTGTCTCTTCTTCCAGGGCACTTGGCCTTCCTGTCTTTGTTCCTGAACAGGGACCCCTTTTTTTCAGACGTATCTCTTGTTCCTTGTCCAGTCCCATTTACATAAACTTTGGTATATGTTCTTGCTTTCATATTCATCACTAGCTTTAAATGAAGAGCCTGGCTATGATGACATTCATCAACTTCGGAATCCGGTTAGATATATCAAATTAAGAGGCCATAAGGGGACAGTCCTAATTCCTTTAGAAAATATTAACTTGGAAACAAATTGAAACAGAGCACTTTAAAGTTATTTGTTCCATTTCAGAAATAAAACTTAAAATAGTTCTTTAGGAATTTGGGATGAGCAAAAGCAAAATTTCTAATAAATTTTTGGGGATGTATTGGATGGGTCAAGACGTAAAACACATCAAAATTCTGTCAGTATGTAATTAATAGTGTAACTGGTTCTCTGAAGTCAAAGGGTATGTAGTGCCTAGAGTTTTGTTTTAAAAAAAAATATGCATCATTTTCAAACTATATGCATTATTCATTAAGTTTTTAATATCGTATTCATTAACTTTTTGAAAGATTTCTTTTTATTGGAAAGGCAGATTGACAGAGAAGGAGAGACAGAAAGAAAGATCTTCCATCCACTGGTTCACAACCCAAGTGACCGCAACAGCCAGAGTTGAGACAATCTGGAGCCAGCAGCCAGGAGCTTCTTCCAGGTCTCACACACAGGTGCAGGGTCCTAAAGCTTTGGGCCATCCTCGGCTATTTTCCCAAGCCACAGACAGGGAGCTGGATGGGAAGTGGAGCAGCCAGGACACAAACCTGCATCCGTATGGGATCCCAGTACATGCAAGGCGAGTATTTTAGCCACTGAGCCAACGTGCCAGGCCGAGCTTAGAGTTGTGTATATTGTTTGTCAAAACACAGTCTGGAGGGCAAAAAAAAAAAAAGACGGCCTAACAGATTCATCTTTATGAATGCAGATTTGGAGATGGTAAAGATGGTACTTGGCATGCCCATACTCCATATTGAAGTCCTAACTCCACTTCCATTCTAGCTTCTTGCTAATGTGCATCTTGAAAACTGTGACCCTTAAGTGCAGCTGTGCCTTGGCCAATGTCAGAAAATCTAGCCGTGGCTTCGTGTAATGCCAGGAAGGAAGTAGCGAAGCTGTCTGAAGATGAAGGCTAAAGGAAGTGAGTTCCAATCGCTCCCATGTGAGACTCGGGCTGAGTTTCCACCTCCTGGTCCTGGCCCAGCTAGAGCCATTGTGTTTGGGGAGTGAAGCTGCAGGCAGGCAGGCTCGCTCACTCTCGTTCTACTAAGGTAATTGTTTTAATGCAGATTCTATAGTGGTGCTATTCATTGGAGACAGGTGAACACTTCAGAAAGTTCATAGAAACTAGAAGTAAAGCATTAGTTAATTTTGGTACCCAAATCTCTCTAGCTGTGCATGGTTTTTTCATACTAGTTAAGTTTCATGAACTTTCTGCAGACCATTATTTCAGGCCTGGAAACATGTAGCGCCTAGGCTGTGTAAGATTCACAAAATCATCTAGTATGTTCCCCACAAGGCAATTGCAGGAAGAACTTGAAATTCAGTAAAATTTGTAGCAAGCTAATTTTTAAATTGATAATCTTGTATGGCCCACAAATGATGTTAATAAATACCCACAGGGTCCTTGGCAGGAAAAAGCAAGTTTATCCAACCTTACTTTTTGTGCATGGATTTCAAAATTTTTATGCCAATATGTTTAAATTGTTTAAATTTATTAGTTTTATTCGTGAAGAGAGAGGAAGTTGCCATCCACTGGTTCACTCCTGAAATGGTTATGGTGCCTCTGGCCGGGAACTCAGTCCCACATGGCTGACAGTAACTCAGTTGCTAGAGCTATGACCACACTCCCAGAATCTGCGTTAGCACGAAGTTGGAGTAAGATACCATGGGGAAGTATCTTACTTAGGTACTCTGTTGTGGGAATTGTGCATCTTAACTGGCAGTTTAACTGGTAGATCAAATCCCCATCCCTAAACTGAACTTTTAATTTCATATTCTACATATTGAAGTACTCTTATGCAATGCAAGCCCCTGTATCATACCTATATGAAAAAGTAAGCAGAAACAGATAAAACATATATCAAAATATCAAAAAAAATCCCAACATGCAATCAATTAAAAACATACTGATAAGATAATTTATAATATTCTTTTGATATTAAGTCTTTAAAATCTATCTTACAGTTACAACACATGTCATTTTGGAATAACTATATTTTGAGTGCCCCATAGTCACGTGTGAGTGTTATCTATTGTAGAGTAGATGTAGAGTTGTAGAGTTCATGTAGAGCAACCAGACACAGTTAAGGGTGTGTTCTTTCATTTAAAAGAAAGCAAATAAATGAAAACTTCTTACAGTGCTCTGTACAGAGATTTAAGAACTACTGTGTTCTATAGGTGATACCAAGTTGTTGCTCCAGGTAAAATAGGAGGAGGACCAACATGTGTTCCTTCATAGTACCTTTACAGAAACTACCTTCATGATAATATGGAAGAGCAAAGGCCATGACATTGCGAAAGAAGAGAGTACTGACAACAGGTGATAGATCCTTGGTGAACACCTACAGCCAGGACTGTGCACCAAAATTACCATAGGAGTTGTTGGAAAAAATACATCTTCCAGCTTTGTAGTCTTGAAGAATTATATCCAATGGGGTCGTGGGAAAGGCCAAATAATAGCAATTTTTGAAAGTGCCAGTTATTTCTAATGTGTAGCCAATGATTGAGCTTTATGGGTCAGGAGTTAAAATGATGATTCTAGAAAACAGTAGTGTGGCAAGCACTGCTGTTAGCAAAACTCATGGTGCTACAGAAGCCAAGGAATGTACAAATGTTATCAAGTTGAAAAAGGAAGGTTTTAAAGTCAGATACTCTATAAGTTGTACCAAAAAAAAAATTCAGAAGACATGACAGCCAGTCATTGTCTTCAAGAATGCCAAAATATTTTAAAAATAGAAACCCATCTGCAGGATGTTAAGGAATGAAGGCATCTGTCTGGACTGTTATTCTAGGAAGTTGACAGAGAGAGGACAGGACGTGGAGGAAGATGAGTTGCGAAATGACTTTGTTTAACTTTGTGTTTAAGAATGAAGCTATGTAAGCTGAAGGGGGAGGAGGAGGGGCCTGCACAGAGCAGGAAGAGAGCAGTCCTGTGGGAGGCGTGTAATTTCTGAAGCAGAAATACCAAGTAGGAGACAAGAAAGGTGTGAACACATTTGGCATGGGAAGGAAACACATGGGCAGGAACAAATCTTTTGGAAAACTCCCAGCTTGAGACCTCAAACATGGAGCCTGCAGAAATGAATTTTTAAGCTGAATGTCATTTAGATAAATGATGTCATATTCAGGTCAGCCTCACACTAACTCATATTGTGAAACCTAGTTCCCAGTGGAAATATTTAGATAACTGAGAATTTACATAAATCTCTGAGTCTGTTCGTCTGACTTGGGTAGTAACAGTCCCCAGGAAAAGTTCACACACACACACACAAATAGAGGGCATCATTAAAACATCAGGAACTCATCCTTATAATTATGGAAACAAACTTCTTGAAAACAAATTCCACATGAAGCTGGCACCATCTCACTTCACTTGTTGTAAAGAGGGGACATAGAGATTCGTTCCTTCTCTCCATCACAGATTTTAATCTGACACTTGAACTGCAAAGCTTCAGGCATTTCAGGAGAGATGAAGTTGACAGGAATTTTTATTATAGCAACATTATACTGTCAGTCACAATAAAATGTTCCATGCCAGGGCTCATGAAAATTTATAGTGAACTTTTCCATTCTGCCATTTATAAGACTGTCTAAAATAGCAAAATCACTTAAAAATGCATATCTACTTCAGATCCAAAAATCTCGATGCAGGAAGATTTCACTCCTTCCATGTTGGAGAAATGTCATCTCCTTTTACTTTTGAGGTTAGTTTTCTACTCATGATAAACTTAGCAAATCTATTTTATGTAATAAATTCATATATGAAATATTATAATAAATGTGAGGTTGGTTAAGAACAAAAATGCTATTTTATTATCTATATGGTGAATACATTTTGCTTTCATTTATGTATTAACCACAGAATTAATAAAAATGAGTCTTCAAATGGAAGTTTAAGTAGGAAAGCAACAGCATCGTTGTTGATACTACCACACTTTTTTTAAAAAAAAGTATATTTCATTCTCTGTATACTACATTTCTGATTCTGAGTGACCTCTTTAGACTTTCCTGCCTCTGTTTTCAAACTGTAAAAATAGAAATTCTTATTTGCAGGCTTCCTTTTTAAGATAATCAATGCCACTTGTTTGGCATATAATAGGCATTCATTAAATTATAGTCATTATTACATTAAGGAATCAATATCTTCAAAAGCTAACTCTGAATCCAGAATATAGGAGAAAAAATTAATGAAAACTTAGTTATCTCAACTTTTCATTCAACAGTTAAACTTAGTTTTGCAACATTTATTGGGCATAGCAATTTAACACTCCATTCTATTCTTATAACCTATGGGTATATTTTAAATTTGACGTCAAATTTAAAGCACCAGTGTTAACAATGTCATTTCTACCAGGTCATAAATGAGACAGGCTCTTGCAGCTGGGCAAACTCCAAAATTTCCCCCAAAACATATAGCCCAGGCTCCCATGTTTACTTGAGAAGAAGCAGGCTTTTTCTTTTAGCCTATCAATAGCCTTTGGAAAAATGTGCCACCACCATGATAAAAACTTTGAGTAAGCTTGTGGAATGAGTAGTTCACCAAAAATTCACAGAAAAATACCAGGAACTTAGTTTACAAGTTTTTTTTCATGATTTATGTATTTT